ATATGTCAAGTTAACCTGCCTCCATCACACTGTAGGTAGTGATTTCCATACCCTGACTACTGACTAAATGAATTTTTTCCATCTTATATTTGCTTCTTGTCCAACATATTATAAGTTTGTGTCCTTTCATTCTTGATCTGTTTCTTGATCTACCTAGCCACTCCGTTCATGATCTTTAAAACTTCTAGCAGATCTCCTCTTTACCTTCTCATATTCAAGACAAACTGTCCGACTTGTCCAATCTCTCCTCATACCTGAAGTTTTTCATCTCTGGAAGCATTCTCGTAAACCTCTTTAGCACTCTCTCCAATATGTTCACATCCTTCCTACAGTGTGGATCCAGAACCATACACAGTGCTCCAGATAAGGTCTGACTAGTGTCCTATTTAAGTTCAACATAACCTCCAACTCCTGTACTCTATGCCATATTAATGAAACCAAAAATAATGAATGCTTTATTTACTGCTGTCTCTTTAATGCCACTTTCAATGATTTATGCTTAGACACACCCAGGTCTCTCTGCTCCTGCACAGCCTTGAGAATAATGCCTTTTATTTCATAATGTCTCCCAATATTCTCTGTACCAAAATGTATCACTTCACATTTCTTTGCATTGAACTTCATCTGCTACCTACCTGTCCACTCCCTCAACTCGTCAATGTCCTTTTACAGTTTTACACTGTCCTCCTCACAGTTTATAATACTCCCAAGTTTTGTATTTGCAAATTTTAAAATTGCTCCCTGCAAACTAAAATCTAGATTATTTCTATGCATATGTCAGAAAAAGCAAAAGTCCCAATACTTTTGGGGAACTCCAATAGAAATCTTCCTCCAGTCCAAAAAAATACCCATTAACCAATACTCCCTGTTTCCCATCTCTCAGCCAATTTTGTATCTGTTACTACTGTCCCTTTTATTCCATGAGCTATAACTTTTCTCACAAGATAATTGTGTGGCATTGATTTGAGTGCCTTTTTGAACAGCATTGCTGTAATCAACAATTTTTTTCAAAAAAACTCCAGCAAGTTAGTTAGACAGGATTTTCCCTTAATAAATCCATGCTGACTCTTCCAAATTAACCAGCATTTCTCTGTGTGATTATTAATCCTATCCTGAACATTTTTTTTGTTCACCCATGAGATGAGGGCATTTTTGCCCAGGCCAGTATTTATTGCCCATCCCAGAGGGCAGTTAACAGCCAACCACACTGCTGTGGGTTGATACAGTGTGGAGTTGGAGGAACACAGCAGGTCCTGCAGTATTAGAAAAGCAGGAAAGTCACTGTTTCGGGTTTACACACTTCATCAGGACTGCTGTGGGTTACTGCTTGTAAAAGTTTCCCTATCACCAAAGTTAACTGAATGGTCTGTAATTGCTGGCCTTATCTTTACAATGTCTTTTCAGCAATAATATTCCAATAAGATCACCTCTCAATCTTCTACATTCTTATGGATACAAGCTTTCTTCATAGGGTAACTTTTCATCCTAGGAATTAGTCAAATGACTCTTCTGTGAACTACTTCTAATGCAATTATGTATTTTCTTAAATAAAGAAACTAAAATGATACATAACACTCTAAATGTTGTTTTATTAATGCCTTGTACAACTGTAGCAAAATATCCCTACTTATATATTCCATTCCCCTCCAATATATGAAATATCCCCTTTTCCTTCTGAATCACCTCTTACATTTGCATTCTAACATTATGTGATTCATGTACCAGGACACCTAGATCCTGCGTTTTAGTATTTGTACACACTGTTACCTCCTGTGACTCTCTGGTTATCATTAGACATATTGCTGCCCTGCACTACTGCCTTGTTCTTTTACTCAAATTTTCCAAATTTCTCCAACCTATCCTGTGGTTAATGAAAGGCTAATTAATGTGAGTAAAGTTTCTTTAGCAGTTTTTCAGCTCCTCAGTTCCTCTTCATGGATATTGGCCAGGTCACATGAAGGTCAGAAAATTATTATTCTGAAGGGTCACTGGATGCACAACATTAACTCTGCTTTCTCGCCACAGTTACTGCCAGACCTGCTGAGATTTTCCAGCAATTCCTGTTTTCATTTTTGTTTCTGATTTACAGTATTCACAGTACTTTTGTTTTATTACAACTAGCAACCTCTTCTCATTTTGCCTGTTTTTTTTTATGAAGAAGGAACAATTAATTACAATTTGTTGGTGCTGAAACTGATTTCAATGTATGAACTCTGAAATATGATTGATGGACTTCAAATTATTTATATTGATATTGGGGGAATTCTTGAAAGGTGTGGTGGTACACTATTTTGGAGAGTCAGCATCAAGGATTTAGCTTTGTCTCTGAGCTAGGCTGTTGTACTTTGCTAGAATTTTAAGGTGAGCTGCTGGATGACAATGAGGTCTTCAGTTGCACTTAAGTTAGAAGCTCCGAGTTCAACTCCTATCCCAGGAGTTGATGACCAAGAAAGGTGTGCTCATAAAATATAGGTTGATTATCAATGTGCAAACTAATACCAGCAAACAGAGAGGGAGAAATTCCCAGTCAGCCCTGATTCACAATGCCCACTAGGACCGACCTCAAATTGATACCTGACCACCACCTCAATGCCTCCAGATTACTGACACCTATTCCTTTGAGTTTGCCACAATCCAACATAACCTGATCTCCGACTCAGCTGACCCTCACCAGCACAGATAGGTGGGGGTTTAAGGTTGGGAGGTGGTTAGTAGTAGGGTGCCAGGTAGCTGAGGGAATAAGAGTGGCAGGTGGATAAGGGTTAGGGTCCCAGCTGTATGAGCTGTTGGAGTAACAGGTGAGTGGGGTTACTCATTGATGGTGGTTGGAGGGTATTGGTTGCCCAGTGAATGGGAGTCAAGGTGGCAGGTGAGTGGGTAAGTGCTTATGGTATTTTGGCACTGGTCTGATTGGGGATGGTGGGGTAGAGGGATTGGTTTGATTGTTGGTATTGTGGGTTGATGGAATGGGAAAAGTCAGTCCAGGTGGAATCTATCAGGAGATATGGACCTGTGAAGAGTTGGGAGTGGGTGGTATTGGGGATTTGCGGAGATTCCCTGAGGTCAGGAGGAGCTGGATTCCTGGTTGTGGATCAGGAAGTCAGGGTTTGGATCAGGTTGGGAATTTAGGGATTAAGGTGGGAGTCAAAGGTTAGTCTGGGGTTGGGTGTCATTGATGGTTCAGGGCGAGGTATCATTTTTAATAGTTAACCAGGAGTCAGAGCAGGGTTTAATTCCTGGGTACTGTTATGCTAAATCAATCAGAACCCTTTGAACTATCTGACTCAAACTCAGGGTTGAGACCTCTTCGGAGCCTTCAAGTGCCGGATAATCACCCATTGCAAGTTTAAACTTCCAGAGCAATTTGTGCAGAGGTAGTCACTGTGTATTTACCTAAAGTGGAAGAAGGAGCACCCCTGCAATCAGTTTACAGAGAAAAGATACTGTCCACCACTTCATATAAGAAGAGAAATTACGCAATTTTAAAATGATAAAAATATAAAAGATAAATTCCTCAATAAATAGTTCAGTAATGCAGGAAGAAGCAAGTCATAATATGGAAATCAAATGACTAGTCTGTAACCAAGCAGCGGCAAAGTGAGAGCGAGTTATGTCAAAACTATCATAAATAGTAGCAAATGGAAGAGACAGTTGAAATTATAGACAATTCCTGGCCATTTTAAATAAACACTGAACATTCTGGAGAAACTCTACAGGTCTAGCAGCATCTGTGGAGAGAGAAAGAGTTAACTTTTGTGTCCGATATAACCTGCTGAATTTCTTCATATTTTCTACATTTGATTCAGATTTCCAGCATTAATTGTATTCTGTCTTTAATCTTGGCCATTTTAAGCCTTGTACAGGAAAAATATTTGGCAGAGGGAATGCAAGAGCTCAGTTGCCTGTCAACATAGAGAATAATAATTCTGTTCTTTGCTTACTGAGCACATAAAAATCCTTAGTCCTTATAATCTAAGTACCTCAAACAACATCCTTCTTATATAACTTGTCATTAATTTATTCTTTAAGGAAAGGAGGAGGTTATCCTTTGACTGTTTAGTTTTCTGTCGTAAATATTTTTGTCCCATGCAATTAAATAGGATAATATCAGCACGGGCCGTATAAAGAAAACCTCCCAAGAACTACTCTGGCAGAGAAAATACCCAAGATTCCCAATGTTAAAAGAAATGACTTGCAGTTACTGTCACAAGCACTTATGTTGTCTGGAGATATTAAGGGCAGATGCTTATATTGGTCAAACAGTGCTAACCATTTAAAATTAGACCTCACAAATAAAATATTAAGTGTGATCAATATTTCGGCAGTTTAAATGTTTCTTCAAGAAATTTAAGCCTTGTTAATCATTTATATTTATGAAACTGGTCCTTTGTCTCAATAATTATATTCAAAGAAAGTATCAAAATAGAACGTTCAATGAGAAGAGAGGATGAAAGAAGTGCACAATCCAAGCAAGACTGAATTCATAAGCTGTCATTTCATCCTTTAGCAACTGAATAGTGTTGATTTCAGCCTGTCAAAGAATACGTTGACTAGCTTCAACCTTCATTAGAGCAACAAAATGAGCAGGCTTCACACTGGGATCAAATTTAGGAGAAATAAACTATTGGATTTTAAGCACTGCTTAGATAGAAATAGGCAAAACACACCAGTACCATTTGCTGCAAGGATATGTAGTAATATCTCTGAATAGGTTGATTAGAAAATATTTACCGTGTATTTTAGTTAATACAGTATGGAGCTAAAGGAACACAGCAGGTCAGGCAGTATCAGAGGAACAGGACAGTCGACATTTCGGGCCTAGACTGTTCATCTGGACTGATGAAATGTGTACTGTCCTGCTCCTCTGATACTGCCTGGCCTGCTCTGTTCCTCCAGCTCCACACTGTATTGACTCTGACTCCAGCATCTGCGGTTCTTGCTATCTCTGAGTGCAGTTTAGTTATTTTATTCTCTGTCCTAATATTGTCTGATGAGATGCTTCATTTGCAGCTGGTGTACTTGCTGACTGCCTTGGTACCCACAGAGACAGTGTGTCTGGCCTGCTCCCTGGGCAGCAACAGACAGACTGTGGTCTCTATCTCCCTGGAGGAGATAGTCTGCCACTTGCTGTAGCAGATGAGGTGGGAGGCATTGCAGCCGACGAGCTCGAAAATATTGTTGATGAGCGGATTGATAACACTTATAGTGGAGGAGGAGATGCCAGTGTCTGGGTGGACCTGCTTCAGCACCTTGTAGATGTAGATGCTGTAGCTCTCCTTCCAATTCTTCCTACACTTCTTCTCGCCTTTGACATGCTTCTTGGTTGCTGCTTTCTCGGGACCCTTTCTGGGCACCATGCCCTTGGCCATTGTTTTAGGCATATTGTAAATAAGATTGAGGTTTATGATCACGCATTTTACACCCACAAGATACTCTATAATACTTCACAGCTAATTCATTACTTTTGAATTTGTGGTCTCTTCTGTTTTTCTTTATGCTGAAAAAATGGCAATCATATACGTGACATGCACAGAACAATGAGTTGACTGGTAACAAGCATTAATTGAGAAATAACTGTTGGGGAAGCTGAAAACCCTAGTTCATCTTCAAAAAGTGCCGTGGGATTGTTTACATTTAGTTGCCAGACAGATGGGTGATTGGTTCAATACATTATATGAAAGGTAACAATGTATTCCAGAACACAGTACCACAGATACGATCGGACTAAGATTATGTACAACTGAAATTGTGTATTCCAAACCTTTGGCAATGGCCAATATTCCATTAGCGCTTTTTGATTACAGTTTGTACCTGTCCATTTGTTTTTAGTGATTTACATATCTTGGCACCCAATGTTACTTTTCTTCATTTCAGTTCACTCTTTAAAAAAAATTGATCTGGCCCTCTTGAATCCAAAGCGGGTGATCTCATACTTTCCCACATCGAATTTCATTTTTTCAAACTATTGCCCCCTTGCTTAATTTATATGTGTCACGTTGTGACTTTCTCCTGCCATCTGTACAATTCACTGTAATTCCTAACTGAGAGCCATTGGCAAATTTCAGTATGCAACTCTCTATTCCTTCAAGAAATTTATCGATAAAGCTTAGACACCAGCAAAGATCTCTCTGGAGCATCACATCTCATCAGATGACATCTCATCAGTCAAAACACATGCACTTTATCCATGCTTTCTGTCTCCTGCTTCCTAACAAATTAGTACCCCTTGCCACAAGATTATCTCCAATTTTTGAGCTCTTATTCTTGCAATTAATGTTTTGTGTGTATGAAATTTCCACTGAAAGTTCATATGGATAACATATATCAACACTCCCCTGTCCATCTGTGTTAACAACCAACTCAAAAAATTCAGTCAAGTCACATAGACATGATCTACCCTTCAGAAATCATGTTGACACTCTTGGTCAGCTCATACTTGTTCAAGTGTTCATTCTGTCTCTGTTGATAGATTACAGTAACTTCTCCATAATTGATGTTAAACCAACAGCTCTCTAGATACCAGGGTTATCTTAAATAATGGAGTGATGTTTGCAATTTTCTAATCCACAGGCACAATCCCTGACTCTGGTGAGCTCGGGAAATTGCATCTGCAATAATACTAACTAAATATCAACCAAACACTAATTTAACTCTTCACTTGGTCTCATGGTTTAGCTACCTTCTGTTCACATATTTATCTCATCCACCAACAAGCTACATTTTTATTTTGTTCACGATATTGAAAGGGATGGAAAAATGTCCTAATTTTTTGTAGTAATCACATTTTTCCATTTTTGGACTTGAGCTTACTTATAGTGTAACAGGAATAATCCGAACATATCTAATACTTTTGCCAGGTCAATCATCTTATCAAACAGGAATACAATTGATTTAAAGAATCTAATGCATCTTTCTTTAGGCAGTCAATTAAATTTTCTGTAGAATTAGAAATGTTTCCAATTGAAACTCACTAAATGCAAATCCCCTTTGCGTACTTTGTCTTTTGCACTTGGAGCAATTAAGGATAAAAGCCTTGTTTTTTTTAAATATTGGTTTTGTAAGAACTTACTAAATTGTTTGACTTCGCATACCCCTGGCTCTTACCACTGTACATTCATGATTTTTCTAGGTCCACTTAGAGGACAAATCCAATGGGGTCAGTGTTCTGTTGCATGATTTAAAAGATGGTTCCTTACATTTCTGCCAATTCTGTAAGTATCAGCTAGTTATTTGATTATAAGAGACAGGACAGCCAAGACAAATGCTGTATGCATTTTACTCTTCCACATCCACACTTTTTGTAAGGATGCCTGAATAGCAATCAGAAGGAAAAAAAGCTCTGGCCAAAGAAGTTAATGCTTCTATTAATATTCGGCAATGGCTAAAGGACAAAATTTTCTTGCCTCCAAATCAAAACTAATGTTAACCTATGTTTGTTTCCCTGTCAAAAGCTATGAACTTTTTCTGAAATGCAGCCAAAAAAGGCTTTTCACAATTCAATATTTAATCCAAATGGTTAATTTTCATAAATGCCTGTTGGTCAAGTTGAAATCTTAAATAAAACAAAGATGGGAACCATCACAGTTCTGTTGAGTGTAACTGAATTGTTACATTGTAGTGAGTTTGTTTCCTCCAACTCAAGAGTGAAGAATTTTTGAAGCATTACAGTCTGTTGCTACCTGCTAACATAGCTTTCTGGTTTGGATGATTCACTTGCACAGTAGCTGTTAATAAAATTCTTCTTTTCTTATTTAAAAAATGGGCTTTATTACCTATGCACCAGGAGAAGCAATAGATTTCTGATGCTTGAACTCAATTTTCCACCGTTTCACTTGTAGTAATATCCTGAGAAATGATCCATGGTACATACTATTGACCATGCCATCAGCCCACATTTAATGTCCCAAATCACTTCAAAAAGAAATAGTAAGGGTAACAGGCCTAGAGTCATAGGTGAAAGTTTAAGAGATGAGGCTGGGTATTTGTTTGAAAATGTGGGCTTTGAGGGGATATCACAGCAGTAAAGAAAAGCAGAAAGAAGAGCATTAGAGATGGTGTTTCATTAAGATGGATCAAGACAATTCCTTAGCAAAAACATAAATTGCTCGAGAAACTCAGCCAGTCTGGCAGTATCTGGAGATAAAGTAGAGTTAATGTTTCCAGTCTAGTGACCCTTCTTCATTTTTTCCAGCAATTCCTGCTCTTTGGTTTCAGATCTTCAGCATCTGCAGTTCTTTGTTTTATTTAAGACAATTCCTTAATGAGATTTCTTCCTGTGCCCTCTTGTAGTTTCAATAGGGGCATGCTCATTAGGCCTTTCCAGTCTTTGGAAACTTTCCCACACTGAAACAGTTCTTTTTAAATAGTAGGTCTAATGGAGTAAGTAGGAGCTATCACAGTGAGAATTATCATCAGGAATTTAAAAAAAAAGTTAAGGAATGGTTTAAGTGAATAGTGGAGTTTCTACATCTGTACCTAACTACTCAATGTGATCACACTGTGTGAATTTTAATTTTTGGATAAATGTGGTAATAATTATTTGATTAAAAAGTCACTAATCACATCCATCAAATAAGCATGGGTTGTAGTGCAGTTCCCATCAAAATTAAAGGAGGAAACAAAATTACCAAGGCTGTAATAACCTGCAAAAAGAGAATGTGGAAGGAAGACAGTTTAGAAAATCAAAGCCAAATGACTGGTTTCATTATTAGGTTTTCAACACTTAATGGAAAGAAAATGCAGATATTTTCTGCTTTTCTTGCACTGATGTTTACTGTCATTTTAATTAAGTTATTTACTCTCTAAATTCAAAGTCCAACAACATAATTTTGCATTTTTGATAGTTAATATGTTTCTTATTTAAACCAAGTGTTCAGAAGTCTAAACCATATCAGACATTTTATTGCCAAACGTCTGCTAGTCTTGTTTTTATGGAAACTGTCTCACTGAATGTGGTTATGATATTGCAAGAAGCATGATTGAGATTCAACACATGAATTCTCAGTGATTAGTGACAGGAATAAGAGCATTGTAAACTAGTTATGAATTAGAAGTGAATCATTCAGCATCTTTTATCATTGGGGAGGGGGTGTTGAATTGCACTTAACGATATTCATAAGGAGCACTTTAGCACATTCATATGATTTAACATAGGTGCTACCTCATTTATAATAGACTGATTAATGCCTTTATTACAATGGCAGAAAGAGAAATTTCATCTAAGCATTTTAATGTGTTTTTTTACTATGAAAACCCAACCTCATGTAGTTTTATGAATGAATTTAAAACATTTGCCTTTGGTAGTTTAGATTGGTGAAATTTACATTAGGGCCTCAATTAATCTTTTTCACTCCGAGAATGTTCAATTACGGATGGTGGACTTGAAGTGCCTGTTTCTTAAACAAATCTTAGTTACTTGATTAGTAAACCAGTATGGTTGCTGCTGGGCTGCCGCAAAGTCCTTGCTGGCTGATGTCAATTTTGACATTGAAATTTCTTGTAAATCACAGCACATAGCACTATTTTAAAAGCTTTTTTTGAAGAAGGTTGGTTGAATTGAATCCCTAAGAATCCTAGTTTACTGTATTGAATAGCTTCTATACTAAAAAAATACCTCATTTTATTGTATCTCAGGAGAGACTACCTATATCAATAAAATTAAAGATCAATCCAAAATATTTACACATATGTTCCTTTAGAAATTATTAGTATGGAACTGCTGAATATTTCCCTGCATATCCAAAATTCACAATACAAAACTGAATGCAGGAATATTAAAGGATAGTTGGTGAATCTATCAAACCAAAGAAATTTGCAGGACAAGGTGGGAAATAGTTGGGTCAAGAACCCATTGTTTTCTTCCTAACGCAATCAAAAACTAATTACATTGCCTCACTTTCTCACTATAACTTTGAATCTTGTCAGGCTCCTAATAGCTATCAAATTTTTCCTTAAAAGTTCCAATAGGCTCTGCCTGGGACAAAGCATTTCATACACCAACAAACTGCTTTTTAAGGATAGATTTTCTACTCTTTTCCTTGATGATATTTCTATCTTTCCTCTGGTTTGGTAATCAGTGACCTGTCATCACTGATTACCCAGCTAGAAAAATCAGCCTCATTCTGATCATTCCATCAAATTACCTCATAATTTTAAAACTTGGATTAAATGTCATTTTAGACTTCTCTGCTTCAGTAAAAATAGCCCCAGTATCTCAAGTTTCTAATCACAGCTACAGGTCCCCATCCCTGATATCATCTTGGTGAATACAGATTCTACACTTATAAGGAGTAACAACGCTCTCCACGGTTTGCAAGATCTTGATGAGACACTCAGTTTGTCAAGGATCTTTGGCAAAGGTAAACATAAA